AGGCTAGAAAAATGGCGAGCTTGGAGCCAGTCACACCTACGGGAAAGGGAAAGAAACTGGAGGAAACCGGCGAGGTAAGGCTTATGCATTTAGCCGTTTGATCGAGGCGATCGATCGAGCAACTGGACTGAACCGTATTTCCCTCGAACGAGTTCACCTACGCGCTGGCAAATAGCGCTCGCGAGTGTTCCAACCGCAGAGCCCCTTAAGGATTCGACTCGAATTCGCCGATAATCGTATTCAAAGGCGACGAGGGAAAAGAGACACGCGGTTACCGTGACGGGACTCTAAATTAATTCCCGACCGCACTTTTTCGCAGTGCAATTATGTTCGCGCGACAGAACTTCCCTTCGATTTGTATGCCTCATATGCAGCGCCGCGTAGAGCCATTTCTGATAACGTACAGCGTACTCTGGGTCTGAGAAAAGCGTAACGAGGCGAGTAAACGGGCGAAGAGGTGTCGAATACTCACGTCTTTGCTGGGAACGCAAAGCGGTGTTCCTTCCTTCACGATCCCTGCTTCCACCATCACGCCCATCACGATCGGATCACGGGAGTTGAAGATGTACTGCAACGAAAGATAGTCTTTTAAGAACGGGAATCGTCAACAAACGTCATAGTATTGGAAAATAGCCTTCCCAAGTGATGATCGACTTTGATCCAGCTTTGTTACTCGATAAATAGAGATAAATAGAGGTAAAGAAACCCAGAGGTACATACCTGCGGCAAGACACGAAGTTTGCAAGGGAACACGGCGATGTGCTTGTTCTCGTCCCGTTTCCGTTGCTTCAGCTCTTCCCTGTAAGCCGTGAATTTATCGAACAGATGATAGATGATGTCTGCCTGGAAGATCTTCACGCCGAGAGAGTCAGCCAGTTCCTGAGCCTCTCTTTCGATCTTCACGTCGAACGCGAGGATCGTCGCGTATCTGTGAACGAGACCACGTCGATCACGTGAAACGTGCGGTCTAGGACGTACCTAAATTGGTACAGAGATACTCACTGGCTATCGTGCTCCAACATGATTGAGGCCTTCATCACGTCCTTCTTCACTACGGATCCGATGCGTATTCCAGCATACTGAAAACGGAAGAGAAGTCTTTTAGCAAACTGACTATTGGATTGCATACTTGGTTCGTGATCTTGGAGTCCATAAATTATTCGGAATAATAAATAATTAACCCACAGAGACTGTAATCCTTTATCACCTAGTTGCCTAAGTAGAGGGCGACTTTTGTCAAAATTTCAAAGACAGAATACGATTTTTGACGTCTCTGAGATCGTCCATGTGTCAACTCGAAAGATTCGCAAGAGTATTCGAATTTTCGCACAGTTGTCGAGTCGTGGCACCTAGATTTCGTCGCGAATAATCGAAACGGCAGGTGAGAGAGACATGTCCTCGCTTGAAGTCGAGTCCACGTTTAATAGGGAACTTCTCAGCTCAGCTGCAATTAACCCACGTAGATGCAATCCTCTACCATCAGCTGATCGAAAGACACGTCTAATTCTCTGCTGTCTAAGTAGCCCCCTACTTTTGTCAAGATTTCAAACATAGAATACGATTTTTGGCGTCTCTGAGACCGTTCATGTGTCAACTCGAAAGATTCGCAAGAGTATTCGAATTTTCGCACAGTTGTCGAGTCGTGGCACCTAGCTTTCGTCGCGAATAATCGAAACGGCAGGTGAGAGAGACATGTCCTCGCTTGAAGTCGAGTTCACGTTTAATAGGGAACTTCTCAGCTCGGCCGCAATTAACCCACGTAGATGCAATCCTCTACCATCAACTGATCGAAAGACACGTCTAATTCTCTGTTGTCTAAGTAGCCCCCTACTTTTGTCAAGATTTCAAAGACGGAAGACGATTTTCGACGTCTCTAAGATCGTCCATGTGTCAACTCGAAAGATTCGCAAGAGTATTCGAATTTTCGCACAGTTGTCGAGTCGTGGCACCTAGCTTTCGTCGCGAATAATCGAAACGGCAGGTGAGAGAGACATGTCCTCGCTTGAAGTCGAGTTCACGTTTAATAGGGAACTTCTCAGCTCAGCTGCAATTAACCCACGTAGATGCAATCCTCTACCATCAACTGATCGAAAGACACGTCTAATTCTCTGTTGTCTAAGTAGCCCTCTACTTTTGTCAAGATTTCAAACATAGAATACGATTTTTGACGTCTCTGAGATCGTCCATGTGTCAACTCGAAAGATTCGCAAGAGTATTCGAATTTTCGCACAGTTGTCGAGTCGTGGCACCTAGCTTTCGTCGCGAATAATCGAAACGGCAGGTGAGAGAGACATGTCCTCGCTTGAAGTCGAGTTCACGTTTAATAGGGAACTTCTCAGCTCAGCTACAATTAACCCACGTAGATGCAATCCTCTACCATCAACTGATCGAAAGACACGTCTAATTCTCTGTTGTCTAAGTAGCCCTCTACTTTTGTCAAGATTTCAAACATAGAATACGATTTTTGACGTCTCTGAGATCGTCCATGTGTCAACTCGAAAGATTCGCAAGAGTATTCGAATTTTCGCACAGTTGTCGAGTCGTGGCACCTAGCTTTCGTCGCGAATAATCGAAACGGCAGGTGAGAGAGACATGTCTCCTCGCGTGGAGTCGCGGCCACGTTTAAAAGGGAACTTCTCGGCTCGGAGGTAGCGGAGTTCCGTACTTGGAAGGAAAACAAAATATTAAGGTAAAGCATAAACCACTGTCACCGTAACATAAATACAGTGGAACGCTATGCGTGCAAGCGTGTGTCTGTTTGGCCGCAAAAATAACTAGTGACGCATGCTGTCCGGATTCGGCTGGCCGATGCGACGAGACACGACAACGTAGAAATAAACGCGCCGATGCACCTACAAACAAGCTATTTCGCGGGCTAGAACCACGGCTATCGAGACAATACCTCCAATGTACGAACGCATCAGCCGAGGTTAAAAGGTAAATTACTCGAGGATGGGTAATTGAAAGCAAGATTTGCGACGGTAACGTCACGAAAGTGTCTGACAAACGAGACATAGCTAAATAATTTTTTCAACTATACTGTATACCTAGGAGAGGTGAAAATGTGTGGGTTAAAGATTTAGAAAGTTCGAAAGACAAGTATGGAATAGGTCGGATATGGAATGCGAATATATGGTTTATGGGGACCATAAAAGTATGCGAACGCGCAGAAATGGAGTAGGTAATTAACATAGACTGAGACTGGAATAATTCACGAGAGTGAATATTTTAAAAGATATATTCGCATTCAACGTTTTATGAAGACTATATTAATAGTTAGATTTTTCACAATTTTACTATTTTTGTAAAATTTGGTATAGTATTATTCTAGGGGTGTGTTTCGATTCTTAAATTTCGAAACACGAGTTTTGGTATACTTTCGTGAGCAATCGTAGGTAAAAAGAATTCTGATAGATACATAAGTACGGAAAATTCATGATTTTAAGTAAAGAATTAAATTAAATCAAGTTAATTTAAAAGTAAATCCTGCTTTTTGGAAATGTCCTCCTTAAAAGAGAATTTGTTTAATTAATTTTCTCGAAAGAGAAAATACGACTAGATTAATTAACCCTTTACACTCGGCGAATTTTTCGTTACAAAAAGATAGCAATTCGATATTTAAATATTCGTAAATATCGACGATATTTTTAAAACGGTAAATATGAAATCGTATGTAAATTAAGACGTAGAATTATTTTACTTCAACATTGCACGCATCGTTGGGTAATTTTAAATTTGATATATTAGTTAACATCGATCTTTAGGTTCTGATCAAAATGGCGACTGAAGGGAGCCTCTCGAGTGCAAAGGCATAATTAATATATCAAATTTATTATTAATATCAAACACCCAATTCCTTATACATATATGTCGGGATTAACACTAGAATTACCGATCTTTAATGGGTACCTAAACATAATAGGCATACATAGATAATAGTAATTTCAGTGGTACGATAAGAAAATATATTAATTACAGTCGACGTTAATTTTTCTAAAAACAGGTATAATATTTTTAGCAATTGCTGTTGAAAAGATAAGTTTAGCTGTAGTCAAAAATCAATCTAGTTTATAAGATATAAGTTCCTAGAACGAATGTTTATCTAAATATTCGATGGGAGTTGGGGCTCTGGGCTAAGGGGCAGGAGCTGGGTACAGCCGCAGATGTGTCTTAGGGGGGTCTATAAAAGAGAATATATATATACCAATTCAATGGAAAAGAATGATCCCAGAATTTTCCTCTCTGCAATTATTGGGACTATGGGTTCTAACAGTAAAATAACTACGATATACATATTGTTGGAAATTAGCCTATGCATGGTGACAGACCTCTTAGAGGTTGCAGGCCAATACCGACCTTTAGACCTCAAGATACTATGCAGGCATGAAGGGGTCGGTTTTTGGGGTTTAAAAGGGCCTGTTGTCTCTCGCTGCTCTCACTCTCAAACCCTTTATCAATGGTGTGATAAAGACTCTCGTTTTTCTTTATATATTCGCATATAAAGTGTATACATTTCGCTTCCATTAAACTTCATACATCCAATTGCTATGCAACTGAATACGGTTACTTCCATGTACGCTAATCGTTTGGATTTCCTTCCCGAAATTCCCAAGAGAAGGCAGCCGTGCGTTCTCGGCATCAGGGCGAAGAAAAAGCCTGAATTTCGGCTGGCCCGTGGCTTCTAGTGTTAAGGATTCGGTCCCATTAAGATAGCAGAACTTTTGAACGATAATGTACGACTAATTGCCAGCGGATAAAGTGGTCGCGCAACAGTAGCTACATTTACGAGCTAATTTTCGAGTTGAGACGAGCGGCGGGCCGATAATCATTCATCAAAGGCAGACGGCAAGGGGCAGAGAGGGGGACGGTGGAAACAGGACGAGTAGAAGATGATACGTTGCCGGGCATTTTTTTCAGATAAGACGGCTTTTTAAGACTTCCGGTGCGTCGTCGCGTTCCGATATTAGGACGAGATACGCGGCGCTTTTTTCCCTGGACCACCATAGCGAGACCGGCGCTCTCGGCCACGTAAATACCCGGCATTCCGCCGCACCTACGTCATTGTTTTCCACTCTTATTATTTGTAAACAAGACCGCGATTAGCATACCTACGCGCGTGCGACTCGCTCACCATTCCGAACACGTCCGTCCTCCGGCCAGTCTACGACTATGATAGCGATTTCGATTCCACGGTGAGAGGTGCTGCCAATATTAAAGCCACGTTAACACTTTGACTGCCACGTTGGTCGTATATGACCGACCACGGTTTCTCCTGCAACGCCATAGTGGTTATTGGTGGCTTGGACTACTTGCAATTGTGAAAATTGTACGAAAATTGACAGTTAGTTGACTGTCAAACGTTACCAAAGCGCCACTTGTGGTCAACCGTGACTGCCAATAAGATAAACGCTACATTGGATAAGAATATTGTCCTTGATCACTAATTTATTGTCATTTTGCCATTATATGCTTCGAATAATAAAAATATTTCGTGATTTCGACGTGGCAGTCAAAGGAGTAAAGACCGAACACGATTAACACCGTGAAATTGATGACATCTAATTGGGAAATTGAAGAATTAGGTATCCTTCTTCGAAATATCACCTCGCTAGAAAATATGAAACGTTAGTTAACCATATGCTCTATCTTCTCTGCCTTCCGACATATTTCTTCGCCATTTTGGCACTCGAAGATGCAATCGACTTGACACTTTGACTGTCACGTTGGTCGTATATGACCGACCACGGTTTCTCCTGCAACGCCATAGTGGTTATTGGTGACTGGAGCGCTTGGACTACTTGCAATTGCGAAAATTGTACGAAAATTGACAGTTAGTTGACTGTCAAACGTTACCAAAGCGCCACTTGTGGTCAACCGTGGCTGCCAATAACATAAACGCTCCATTGGGTAAGAATATTGTCCTTTATCACTAATTTATTGTCATTTTGCCATTATATGCTTCGAATAATAAAAATATTTCGTGATTTCGACGTGGCAGTCAAAGGAGTAAAGACCGAACACGATTAACACCGTGAAATTTATGACAACTAATTGGGAAATTGAAGAATTAGGTATCCTT